AATTGAATTGAATTGAATTGAATTGATTATATTTCTATGCCGCCCTTTTCCCCAAAGGGGACGCAGCGCGGCGCACAAACCAAGGCAAGGGGGGGGGGGTACAAATAAGGAATAAAAAAGACAAACAGAACAATACACAATTTAAAATCACACAACAACCATACCATTTGAGAGGGGACAAAAACTCAATTAGCCCCAGGCCTGTCGGAACAGCCAGGTTTTAAGGGCTTTGCGGAAGGCCTGGAGGGTGGTGATGGTTCGAATCCCCACGGGGAGTTCCAGAGGGCCGGAGCAGCCACAGAGAAGGCCCTCCTCCGAGTAGTCGCCATTCGGCATTGGCCAGCGGATGGAATTCGGAGGAGGCCTAATCTGTGGGATCTGATTGGTCTATTGGAGGTAATTGGCAGCAGGCGGTCTCTCAAGTACTCGGGGATTCTATCATAGAATCTGTAGAAAATCCTCATTTTTGAATATTTATGGATATTGTTCATCAGCATAAAAATGAAAAACGTGTTCCTACCCTTCTGATATGTGCTGATTCCTTGGGGGCCCAATTCCTACAGTAAGGAATAATTTGTTGTATTTGTTGTCTCCCTGCCATGTAGCCCTATACTTAAACGAAGTCCCGATATCACCAAATCACCACTGATAAAGTCAGAACAACTTCTCAAAATAGATGACCATGACTTCAGCATGCGACCAGGCTTTGGAGGTATGATGGAGGAGGTTCTCCAGATATTACATTTTTTCCTCCATTGCTTCTTGAAAAAACTTTGCATTGGTTTTGCACAAAAATGAATAGGAAGAATCACTGTATTCTGTGAAATGTACAGTAAAGGTTTGCTTAAATAGGGGACAGCTTTTTCCTGATTTAGTTTTTCAGATTGTAGGTGTTTTTCCAATCAATTTTGGAAGAGATTATTGTATCTTGAATGCATCCTTTTCCAACCTGGTGTCCTTGATATAAGTTTAAATTGCAGTCTTTAAGGGTGCAATGATTGCTATTAGTTGCAGGACAGACAGAAATGTTGTATTAGTTGTTTTGCTCACTGCATCCTGGTACTGAGAAATTTACTAATGGAATTTCTGCCTGTTGTTAAGCTGCAAAAACTGGGTGGTATGAATATGAAGGTGGTATGGCAGGGATTTTGGGGAAATGTTTAACATCTACCTGAAGACATTGGGTGAAGCCATTTCCCAGCATGGAGTTAAAAATGATTAGTACACTACTAATAATCTTCAGGTTAGGACCAGTGGTGGGTTTCAAAAATTGTTCGAACCTACTCTGTGGGTGTGGCCTCCTTTATGGCAGTGGCTTGCTGCCCATATGACCGGATGGGAGTGGCTTGCCACCCATGTGACCGGATATGAAGATGCCGACGACACTTGTCAGAACCACCTTAAATTACTTCACAC